CTCCCTGGTTGGACTACATCTCCCTGGTTGGATGCATCACGGTATCCCCTTTTGGTCTGAGGAGGCGCGGAGCATCTTGGGAGATTAAGTCTAATCCATAGAGGAGAATGGGAGTATGTAGCAACTGAACTACAGCTCCCTCGAGATACTGCAGCAGTATTTCATATCTATATAAATGTTTGTTTTAGGGTGTTCCGTTTTTTGACAAAAATATCAAAAATCTCCCTGGAAAGCAGATACATTTTGCGAAAAATGTTCCAGTGAAAACCAAATTTTCTGTCATAAAACAAGCTTAATTGGAAACTTTTCAACCGAATGCTTAGCCTTCCTGGCAATGCAAAGCGATCATTAGTCCCTGACAGCACGTGTTTTCACTTCTTGAGGAGGAGCCTTGATTTTGACCAGGAGCTGTCTAGATAATGAAACAGGAAGGCTCGGGGCATCTTCTCTCTCTCTCTCTCTGATGATCCATCCGTATCTCTTATGAAAATTGTAATGGGCTCGGACTGTCTCTTGCTATGTGTATGTCCAATGCCCGGTATAACAGGGTCCCAGTCTCGGTTAGGGTCCCTCAGGGCTACTGTATCACAAATAGTATCTTATCTCTCTGGCAATCTAGCTGTTTGTCTTTCCATCTCTCTCTCTCTCTCCATATGGCTGTTTGTCGCCATCTAGTCAACCATATTTCCATCCATCTCTTCATCTCTCTACCAAAATCTCCATCCGTCCATTTCTAAACCTACCCTCCCCATGACTTCCAGGTGCACCTAGTCCACAGCTCAACCCAGAAGTCTAATTCCCACCATGGTCTGTTGTTTTCCCCATATGGCAGAACGTGTATCACTATCCCCCTCCCCCCCCCCTTGCTTTCTTGTTTCAGCTCCCTGCGGAGGGATCCTGACGGGGCCGGCCGGGGTCATCTTGTCACCGCAGTACCCTGAGCCCTATCCCCCGGGGAAGGAGTGCGACTGGAAGTTGACGGTCTCTCCCGATTATGTCATTGCCCTGGTATTTAATATGTATGTACCCATGAGCGGCTCAGCTGCTCCCTTTCAATTCTGTTGGGACTTGTGGGGAGAGGGGAGGAGCTCAGAAGTGGGGCAAGGCCTGAGGTAACAGGCTTGCCATTTGCATCACCTGCTCTCTAAAGGGTTGTCCCAGGGCTCAGGGTTGGATCAGTTTCCTAGAGAGCCCCTAACCAGACGTACCAAACCTGCAAAAAAAAGCAGAAAATTGGGCTTGGTTTTGGCTTAATTGGCTTGTGAGTTGCTTGTTGGCTAGTTTTTGGCTTGTTGCTTGTTGTAGCTTGTTGCTTCTGTTTTTTTATCGGCTCCCGGCAAGCAGGAGCAAGGGGGGACAAACAGGGGCAAGCGGGACAAGTGGGGGAGAGTGTCAGGGGTGCACAGCAGGCCCACCACAGTCCCAGACTGCATGCCGGGGGGAGCTAGTCACATAGGGTGTTGGGGTTTGTAGGGATTGGCTTGTTTTGGCCTTGTTTTGAAATGGGATGCGCTTGATTTTTGTCTTATTGTGAAAATCGGGGGGCTTATTTACCGCGTGAAAGTTGGCAACTGTGCCCCTAACCCGTGTCCAAAGCAAAGAAAACCACTTATATCTGCCGGCCCCTTCTCCCGCCAGTCTCACCAAGGATGGTGTCTGGTTCCTGTAGTGTTGGCTGATTGGCTCCCATGTTTAGCCTCAATTCGTCCCGGTTGGGAAGAGGATACGTGTATTCCGACCACAGCCCTGCTTTATTTGTGCATGTGTTTAAAGAGCATAACCCTGGTGCTATTGCAAAGCGAGTGTCTGCCATGCCCCCCGTGAGCCCCGCGGCCCTTCCAGCTCCTGTTAATTCATTAGCGGGTGTTTTCAAAAGACTGGATCCAAAGTGTGGCTGGATCAACAGGTTAATTCTTTGGGCCATGCTGCCTGTGGCCCATATGTAAAATCTGCACAGAAGCTTTTGGACTCCTCTGCCCTCCAGTGCATGGAGAACTCAGTGAGACCTCCCTCTTGCTGCTCGCACCCACGCCTGTGTCAGTAGAGGGATCGAGCAGCCTGCCCCAAAGGCCAGGAGACACTCAGGCTCCACTGGAAATGCCCTGACCCTGTCTCCCAAGAGCCCAAATCAGGGGACAATCAGCCAGGGTATCTCAATTGATCTCCACTGTGTAGATGCCACCTCAGGAGAGGGGCCGGTTGGTGCATACTGCTCCGTATCGCCTGAGGAGATTGACCATTGTAATTCCTGGACAGGATCTAGTGTAAGACAGAATCAGACTCAGGTTACACCTGTCACAAAGCTTGGGCTGGATCTAGAGTAAGTCTGGAGTTAAAACGCTGTCGAGCTCAGCCCTCTGCTCTGCCTACAGTAACCCTGAGGTGGCTTGAAAGGGGCATCTTCCCAGGCCTGGGTGGCAGATTCAGGAGCAAGGCCTTGTCCTTCCAAGCAACAGCTGCTTGTGCTGCTGGAATCTTTGTCTATTGCTTATGCCCTCTGCACCTTTAAAACTTCCCTGGGGGTACATCGAGGGAAAGAGACATCTTTCTGTGCTCCTCACCTTTAATTTGCACTTTTCAGTAACCGCGGTAACGGGCATCTTGAGAGACTTTCTGCACGGAAGAGCAGAGAATGGCAGCATTAATAGATGTTGATTTGTACAGGATTTTTTTTTCCCACCTGCCACCAGGGCAACCTTGTGGTTAAGGCTGGACAGGGGCTTTGGAGAGCTAGATTCAATCCCTACCACTGCTCTGGGCAGTGTGGGAGACTTCAGGCACATCAGTTAGTCTCTTGGGACCTCAGTTCCTAATCTGTAAAATGGGGATAACAATCCTCCATTTCCTCCACCTGTCTTGCCCACTTAAATTGGAAATATTGTGGTGCTGAGGCTGTTTCCTTACTCTGTGTCTGTACAGCACCTAGCACACTGGGTCCCGATGTTCTGTTAGGCCTCCCGGTGCTCCCACAATACACGTAATCATTCCAGCTCTGCTTGTTTTGTTTCTTGCCCAGCTTTAATTTGGAGCCCGGCTACGATTTCCTCCACATCTACGACGGCCCCAGCTCACTCAGCCCCCTGATCGGGAGCTTCTACGGCTCCCAGCTGCCCGACCGGATAGAGAGCAGCAGCAACAACCTCTTCCTGGCTTTCCGAAGTGACGCCTCCGTGAGCAATGCAGGCTTCGTGATCGATTATACAGGTAACCCATCGACCGTGGCGTGTACCGTGCCCTGCCGTTCTTCGGCCCAGCCCGACCCAGTGGCGTATGTCAGAACCACCCCCACTTCGATCAGGCCTCCTGGATGAGCCATAAGCAGGAGGATGCTTACCCAGTTGGTAGCTATAGGAACCCTCCCATCATCAGTCCTGCAGTCTGTGTGGCTGTGCGAAGGCCGGCAGGGAGAGCAGCCGATTGCTCTCCAAGGGAAAAATTGTCGAGAAGAGTGGTTGGGAACAGGGACGAGATTCATATACCAGATCACCTCGTCTGACCCGCTGTACAGCACAGGCCACCAACACCAGCCAGCCTGCGCACACTAAACCCCGCGGCAGACATTAGACCAGGGTATTACAGCCCACAGGAGGGATCCAGGTGCACCAGTGCCCAAGGACCCCGCAATGGCAGGTAAATGATTATGTGAGATAGACCCAGGTAAGCCTGGCAAGTGACCTGCACCCACATGCTCCAGAGGAAGGTGAAAAACCCCCAACGTCTCTGCCAATCTCACTGGGGGAGGGGGAGAATTCCTTCCCGATCCCACATGCGGTGATCACTTAGTCTGTGAGTATTTGAGCAAGAACCAGACAGCCAAGCACCTGAGAGAGAGAACGCTTGGTGCCACCTCAGAGCATTGGTCCAGTGTCCCATCTCCAGCCAGGCCCATCACTGATACTTCAGAGAAAGGAGACCAAAAAACCCCAGAATACAGTGCGGGGAAAAGATCCCTTCCTGACCCCTGCAACTGAAACCCTGAAGCATGAGCTTTAGGAATATAAGACATAAAGTGGAAGGGACCCCGAGGGCTGCCATGCCCTGCCCCCCACCATCTCAAGTAGCCCCGTCTTTCAATACCACAAATTGATCCAACTCTCTCTTAAAACTAATTAAATTGATTGCCCCACAGCTCCGATTGGGAGTTTGTTCCAGAACCTCACCCCACTTATGGTTAGAAACCTTCTAGTTTCCAGCCCGAATTTGTTCATGGCCAGTTGATCCCCATTTGTTCTTGTGCGGCATTATCCTTTAGCTTGAATAGCTCTTCTCCCTCCCTGGGGTTTACCCCGCCACACCATGTATTTACAGAGAGCAATCCTGTCTCCTCAGCCTTCTTTTTGCAAGCTAAACAAGCCAAGCTCTTCCCATCTCCTTCCACAAGATAGGGCCTCCATTTCCCTGTTCATCATCAATAGCTCTTCTCTGCACCTGAATTTCAGTCTGAATGAATCTTTCTTGAACACGGGTGACCAGAACAGCACACAGTATTCCAGGTGAGGTCTTACCAGTGCCTGGTACAATGGCATTAATCCTTCTCTACCTCTATTGGAAATGCCTCGCCTGATACATCCTAGGATTGCCTTTGCCTTTTTCACAGCGGCATCACATTGGTTTGAGGTCAATCAAGTCCTCTGAATGACCTGATTTGTAAAGTTTCAGTTACCGTCAGGTGGGAGCAGTCCCAGGGGCTTGGCTTCAGTGGAGGCTTTGGGAGGTGCCAGCTCTCAGAGTGGTTCCCTAACTGAAGTGGACAAGCTCACCAGAAAGTACAATGCTGTGATTCAGCTTCATTACTGGCTGCAGAATTGACTCTGGCATCCACATTAGCATCAGCAGCAAAGAAAGGGCAGGGAAGGCTGCAAGGGGGAATGGTTTTCGATGAGCATTGTCTTGTATAACACTCTAGGAACAGCTGGCTCTGCCACTGATGCTCCTGTCCTTGGATAAGTCATTTAACTCCTCTGTGCTTCATTTTCCCCAGCACTTTGAGATTTAAATGTAAAGCTCCATGTTAGATTCCCAGGGTGAAATCCGAGCCCTATTGAAATCAGTAGCAAAACTCCCACTGACTTCTATGGGGCCAGGATTTCACTGTCAGTGCTTCCAGTTTCTCATCACCGTTACACAGACCCTCGTGTTCGACGTGGGAGCATGGGGGCATTTCAGGTCCCTGATTGGATACGAATTGGGCAAACAGTTATGTCTGTTTCAACAGAGCCTGTATTTTGCAAACAGAAACACAGCCCCCTTTGCGTGACTAAGCTTCAGGTTCTCTTCTGAGATCAGTTTTTTATTAGTATTATTTGTGTTGCAGTAGATCCAAGAAGGTCCAGCCTCATTGTGCTGGAGGCTGAACACACGCCAAATTGAAAAACAGCCCCTGCCTCCAAGAGCTTATTTCCCCAGCCCTGCACTTCGAAACATTCACCCAAAAGCTGCCAGTGAGCCGGGCTTGGTGCTGGTCCCTTTGCCCCTTGTCTTTGCTCATTTACTCCACTTAAACGCCGTGTTGTTGGTTTTCCTCCAAACATTGTATTTTACCCAGCGCTGAACAACTTGGACGTTTGCTTGCCAGGCTTTCCTTAGCTGAAATGTTGCCAGTCTGCTGCTCTTGAATTATTTCTCCAGGCTGAATCGCGTGGGCCTTACACAGACCTTGCCTGGTGCGCAGGCCGTGTGGCTGCAGTTCAAGGAGAAGACGCAGGTTATGTCAGTGGGACATAGATAAGGCAATGGGGGAATCGTCGTTACGTTGTAGGCGGTTGGGTACGCCTCCAGGATTCTCTTTGTTGTTTGACATCTGTTCTCCGTGGTGTGATATTCCCCACAGCTGGGGCTGGCTGTGTTAGCGTCTGGTTTGTGCTCTTTTCTGCCAAGTGCAGGAGCGGCAGGCTTGCTTTCCATGCACCAGCAGGGACTTGGAAGGTTGAGATGGCAGCGTATTCAGCTTCTGGGCATTAATGGGAAGTGGAGGGAATGCTTTATGAGACTCGGCACCAGCGCTTCGTGAAGATCGAAGCTCAAACAATTTCTCCTCTCCCTAAACTGGAAATGTGGGGCCTGATGCTAAGTGACTCCCTCCCTGTGCTCACAGCAGGAATGCAGGAGATGGGTTTCAGGTGTTTTTGAGCCACCTTTGTACTCTTCAAACTCTGCCATGCAGGCACCTGTCCACCCTCCAGTATAAGTTAGAGCAGTCTCAGGGCTGCTTTAACTTATCCTTTGCTCCCTGTGTGGCCTGGGAAGCACAGAACTGATGTCGGTTTTGGCCACGCCTCCAATCCACCCCCCTACACTGGGGGCTGGGAGAAGAGACAAGGTAGGGTTTGTCTATACTGCAATTTGAAGACCCACGGCACAGCCACGGCTGGCCCAGGTTAGTTGACTCGGGCTCGCGGGTCATGGGCTATGGGGCTATAAAATTGTAGTGTTGACGCTCGGGCTGGGGCTGGAGCCCGGGCTCTGAAACCTGGCCAGGAGGAAGGGTCTCAAAACCCAGGCTCCAGCCCAAACCCAAATCTCTACACTGCTAGTTTTAGCCCTGCAGCCTGAGCCCCATAAACTGAGTCAGCTAAGCCAGTTTCTGAGAATCCATGGTGGAGGTTTTTTACTGCAGTGTAGACATACCTGTAAGGTCCTTATAGCAGCTCTGTTGCAGCTCGGGAGGCCCATTGTACAGGGGGGATTCTCAAGGCTAAGGTACGTGTGTCTATCCTCACCTTACGGCCCCTGCATGCTGCCAGACAGGGCTGCCGAGAGCGAGTTCGGGCCCCAGTGAAAACATTTTTTCGGGCCCCCCAGCAAGGGCGGACCAGCTAAACAGGGCCGACAAAGCTGGGGAAGCCGGGCCCTGGGCCCCCTTCTGGACCGCTGGGCCCCGGTAATTTCTACCGGCTTCTCAGCCCTGCTGCCAGAGCAGCTCTTTTGGGAGAGCAGAAGGAAATAGTCTGGCTTGCTTTTCACCATTCATTTTTCCCAATGAAACTATTAGTGCCTAGATACCCAAGCCAGGTTAGTGTTCTAGAAATGGAGCGAGCAGAACTAGACTGGTGAGTTTCACATTCTGTTTCTAGTCAGTTTCACTCTCTGGTTCCCACCCCTCTCCGCTCAGAATTTTAAAAAGAGCTCAGCACCCACAATTGGGAGCAGCTTTTCTAGAGTTCCGCATGTGCTGGGTGCTGAGGTTTTTGGGGAGAATCTGCCCAGAAGTCTTGCAATGGGACTTTCTCCACTGCTCAGCTCCCAGAATCTGACCCTTATTTAGGCCCGTTTGAAAATCTGGCCCTGAGGGTTTGTATCCTGCCCGGTGTCCAAGCACGTCAGTTAGTTCTCAAGTGTCCTCACCTGGCATTTGCAGGATGGAATCATAGAAGATCAGGGTTGGATGGGACCTCAGGAGGTCATCTAGTCCAACCCCCTGCTCAAAGCAGGACCCAATCCCCAACTAAATCATCCCAGCCAGGGCTTTGTCAAGCCTGACTTTAAAAACCTCTAAGGAAGGAGATTCCCACCACCTCCCTAGGTAACCCATTCCAGTGCTTCACCACCTTCCTAGTGAAAGGCTCCTAGTGACGGAGCCTTAAGTGGGGTGGTATTTGCATTTCCAGAGCTGCAGGGGAATGTCTGTAACAGGGAGAGGTTTTCTTCAGAGCATTTTAGTTAAGTAGATGTTAGCACAAACAATGTGCAGTCAGAGGGCCAGCTCCGCCGCTGGGGTAAATCCCTGTAACACCGTTGAGGTTAACGGAGATGTGCCAATTTACTGCTGCTACGCATGTAGCCCAGCGCTTCCGTCTCAGTTAATGAAGATCCACCTCCGTGGCCTTCGATGCCGTACATCTACCAGTTCTCTGATCTTCCTGTAACCCACACATCTTCTGGGTGGGGTGCTCTGTCCCATCTAGTGGAACCGAGACCCCTTAGAGAAATTAATGAGTCTGCTCTACCGCCTTAGCTAACAGCCAGTTGGCTTTTAGCTCATGCGGTAGAGGCTCATGCCCTAAGTCCAGAGGCCCCAGGTTCAATTCTGCCCGCCGATGACTAGGGTGACCAGATGTCCCGATTTTATAGGGACAGTCCGGATTTTTTTGGTCTTTTTCTTATATAGGCTCCTATTACGCCCCACCCCCATCCCGATTTTTCACATTTGCTGTCTGGTCACCCTACCGACGACCGGGGTCATCAACGTTACATTCCGTCAAGTT